GGGGGGGAGGGTGAGAAGGGGGCGGGATAGGGAGGAAAAAACGAATAAGAGACGGGTAAACATCAACAGTTGCTGAAGCAAGCCCACGAGAGGCAACCACTGAACATTACTGATAGCTCTGTGTGGGCGTCAGACATCCTGAACGGGAGGGGGGGGCCCAAAGGGGCTGTAAGTCGGCCTAGCGATCAGAGGGCGCAGGGAAGGATGGGGCAACAGGGTGCAGATATGCCTCCCGACTCCCTCCCCCCCACTGCCTCTCTCCTGATCGGATTCGCCGCCTTGCAGCCCCTGGCGCTGGCAGGCTGGCGGGCCAGATGCCGGTCTGGCCCGAGAGCCCCACTCCTTTTCTGGTCTATCGTCCTGATGCTTCACAAACCTTGTCTGTCTGTGCTCATCGGTGACAAGTAACCGGACTGATGCCCCCCAGAGTAGAAAAAACAATCGTAAACAATCGTTTGCACTGCAATTCTACACAACATAGTTTTGCGCTGGAGCTGCCCGGGACCTGACCCAGAGGCCCTGTCGAGGCTCGTGGGCGTGTGTCCAGGCACAAAACTCACGCCTGCGCACACAGCAAAACAGCAAGCCAGAAGCTTTTTTTGGCTAGACTTTTCAACACAAACATGGATTCATCGTCAGATTCAAGACAATCATGAATTCATCGAGAGATTCAATGAAAATGGACGTGCTCCTGCTGTATCCATGCTTGTGAATCTATAGATTCAATAAACATGGACGTGCTCCTGCTGTATCCATGCTTCTGAATCTATCCGTGAATCCGTCACTCCTGTCGGAATCAGCAATCAAACATGGATTCGGGCTATAGATCGGATAATACAGAACATGGATTCGCGCTATACATTCAATGAACAAACATGCGTTTCCACTAAAGATTCAACGAACAAACACAGATTCATAGTTTAGATTCAACTAACACGGATGGATTCGTGCTATGAATTCACCCAACATGGATGGCTCATGTCCGTTGAATCTCAAGATGAACCCTTTTATTTATACTCGTACATGGACGGATTCCCACTGTAGATTCGTGGAACAAAAATGCATTCACATTTCTTTGGCACCCAACAAGGATTAAAAGTCCGAAAACAGACTGTCACAACAACTACAATGTACACAACAAATCCAGCAGCGAGATCTCATATACACTGTGTGACTGCAAACACACAAATCCTCTCTCCCTCTCCCTCTCCCTCCCTCTCCCTCCCTTTCCCTCCCTCCCACTCACACAGCCCCCCCCCCAAGCCTTCATCTTGACATCCCAACTACTTAGAATTATCAACTCTTCTGCGACTTTGCCTCCATGGCTTTCTCTCTCTCCACTTGGGCAACAGCGCGGTCTATGTCATCGCTTGCAACAGCTTTCATTGTGTACAGGTACACTGCACCGGCAAACGCCGAGAGGCTGCCCGCAACAAGCCAATTCTTCCACCTAGGCACAGCCCTGATGGCTAGAGGGGAAGCCATCTCCTCCTTTCCTTTCCACCTGCAAAACAAGTACAGAAAATGCAATACATTCCATTCCATTCAAGGGTATCAGTCAGTGGCTGGAGTGAAGTGCTTGCGGACCCACTGCTAACAACGTAGACCCAAAATTTATTCATCAGCCAGTGCGGAGTGCTGATTAACGGCGACCCAAAATTTATTCATCAAGATAGTCAGCTTAGCGTGTTTGAAACCTTCATCAACTAGGGTGCTTCCACAGGTTGACATCCAATCCAGCCTAAAAGTAAACAATCTACCACAAGTAACCAAAAACGTTTTTGATGAATGGGTCTAAAAGTTCCGTGTTTCCACTAAGTTGATGGAGGTTTAAAAAAAAAGCTACGCTGACGATAAGAGGAAATGTATGGGCCAGAAAAACAGGGTGCCCCCGCCCGATGTTCCCTTCGCCATCTTCATTCCAGCGCAAAGATCGTGAGCATGTGGTGGTGACGTCAACAATGCCGGCAGGGGCAAAAAGTTGGACAGGAGAGATGCACCCGCTCTGGCAGCATCCGCAGAATGAAGATCGAAAGAAAACCGCAAAGATCGTGAGCATGTGGTGGTGACGTCAACAATGCCGGCAGGGGCAAAAAATTGGACAGGAGAGATGCACCCGCTCTGGCAGCATCCGCACCACAGAAGAATGAAGATCGAAAGAAAACGGCAAAAGAAACGGCAACCAGATGCGATAGCAATCGCAGTGATGGCAGGACCGATTAGAGTTCAGACGTGAAGAGACGACAGCATCATAGCAAAACCCACTCTCTTCCTCTCGCTCTAGTGGGTGCATTCGGTCATTAACGATCGTCAAATGCTCTCTCTCTCTCTCTCTCTCTCTCTCTCTCTCTCTCTCTCTCTCTCTCTCTCTCTCTCTCTCTCTCTCTTCACTACCCGCTCGCTTCATTACATTTCCTCTTCCCTTCTCTACATCCCCTCCATTCCGCCTATTGCATTCCATCTTTCAATTCGTACGCTCCACCCCCCTCCCCTTCCCGATCTTACCCCCACCAATCCACTTTTCCCCATCCTCTTCTCTCCGTGTCCTGTGTCTATCGCCTCCCTCTTGCCGTCTTTGTCCACCCCTTCGTCTCCGTCGTCGAGCTCCTCCTCCTCAAATACTCGATGTGGCCCCTGCCAATCCTATATATCCTCTCCTCTCTTCGTCTGTCTGCCGCTCTTTCTCCCTTCACTCTTCTCCCCTTCACTCTTCTCCCTTCACTCTTCTTCCCTTCACTCTTCTCCCTTCACTCTTCTCCCTTCACTCTTCTCCCCTTCACTCTTCTCCCTTCACTCTTCTCCTCCTCCATTCTATCCCCACTTACCCTATCCCTCTCGTGATTCAGGCCCTTCGTCATTCTCCTGCTCTCTACTTTCCTTACCACCTGTTCCCCTCCCTCTGCACGCTGAGCCCCTCTTCCCACCCTCCTGAACTCTTCTTCCCCACCTTGCCCGGATCCCCTTCCACGACCTGCATTCCTTATACCCTGTTGACTTGGCGTTCTTTCTCCTACACTTTATCGATTCTTACATTCTCACCCTGATTGAGTGGCATTGCAACCCCCTCCTCCACTCGATCCCACACCATCCTGATCACCCCTCCACTCCCCCCCCCACCCCCTCTCTCTTTCCGATCCGCGCTGCCTATCCCCTTCCCCACAAATTAGGTCCTCGACCTACACCCTCCTCCGATTTACTTCAGGATCGTCCTTGACGTCTTCCCCCTCCACAACCTCCTTAGCGCCGACAAACTTACCTTACATGCTTCAACCTATCCCTGTGACTCTCCTTCTGCTTCCTCTGTCGACGCATCCCCATCCCGACCGACCAAGTCCCGACCCTCTCATCCTCCTGATCGTGCATCCTAACTTAGTCGAAAATAGTCGAAAATCGGGACCACACGGAGACGGACACCCATAGCACGAGGAGAAATGAGGAGGAGGAAGAGGGGGAGGAGGAGGAGGGGGAGGAGGAGGAGAGGGAGGAGGAGAGGGAGGAGGAAGAGGAGGAGACACGGAACAATGAGGGCACATAATGAGTTTCTCCTTTTGGAAAAAAAGGAAAAAGGTTAACGAGCGGCCATCTTTTTTAGCTTGTACTTTTCTTCTCACCTGCAGTTCCCGCCAGATCACCTACATTTCAAAGAAAAAAGCCCCCCCGGGGCTCCATTCCTCCTCCTCTTTCTCCTCCTCCTCTCCTCCCACTCCTCTTCCTCCTCCCTTTCACCCTTCTTCGACACCTGGAAACTGTCAGTGCCCCTCCTTGCCTGCTCTGCCCTCTCCCCATCTCCTATTCCTGACCTCCTACCCTTCTCCCGCCACTTCCAGCCTACTTGACACCGTCATTATCTCGACCGTCTCCTTATCATCGATATCGTTATCGTTATCCCATGTTTACTTCATTCGCATATCGTTATCCTTAAACGTATCGGCTATTCGTTGCCATCAACAAGTTATCCCATGGAACAAGATTATCAAGAACACGAGGCGAAGGGTGGGGGAGGGGTGGGGGAGGGGTGGGGGAGGGGTGAGGGACGGGTGGGGGAGAAGAAGACAAAGGAGGTGGGAAGGAAAGGAGGGGGAGGAGGGCGAAGAGAGGGAGGAGAGGGAGGAGAGTGAGGAGATCAGAGGAATTGGAGAACACGTAGGAAGAGGGGATGAGGACAGTAGGCAGCCCAGCGGACGAAGGGCATCGCTCCATCTTTTGAGAGAGAGACAAAAACTGGCCAGCGTATCTTTCCCTCCTACAGTCTTCCCCGCTGTATTGGGGGTGATTTTCAGTCTAGATACAGACTTAATGACCGTACATTCTCTTCGGGGGAAGAAGGTAGCTGAAGATACACTCGCCATGTTACACACTTGGTGAGCAAGTGACTGAGGACAAGAACCACAGAGGACGAAGGGGAGAAGAGGAGGAGTTGGGAGGAAGGGGTGAAAAGAGGTCCAGGAAGAGGACGAAAAGGGGTGAAAAGGGGTGAGAAGGGGTGAAAAGGAGTGACAAGAACCATGGAGTAAAGAGGGAGTAGAACGAGCAGCAAGAGGAGAGGACGTTACCACGAGATCAAATGGAAAGAAGATGATTAAGCGCACGAGCGGGGCGACAGGTGGTCGAGGAAGAGGATGACGTGGACTCCTGATTGAGTGCTGACGTGGAGTCCTGATTGAGTGCTGACATGTACTCCGGATTGAGTTGTTGACGTGTACTCTAGATATTTAAACTGCTGGCTGCTGATAACCTCGATTGATGACGTGTACACGAACTCCTGCTTGATTGATGACCTGCACGCGAACTGCTGCCTGATCAATGACAGGTATGCAAACTCCTGCTTCACTGATGACGTGGACTCAGACTGCTGGCTGCCGGCTGACGTGCTGCTGGCAACGTGGAACTGGCCCTAACCACAGCGCGCCGACACGACGGACGAAATCCGGGAACGTACTCACAACCGGAAATGGAAAAGCGCGAGGGAATACTCACACAACCCCAAACCGTTTTTTGACATTTCCAAGCCTAAAAGCGAGGGGGGTCCCTGGCGTGACACTACGAGCTGCCAAGCACCCCTTTTTAGGCTTCCAACTTGGAAGCACCCCGTTTTCTTTTTTTTTTTTCTTTTTTTTCTTTTTGGAAAGCATTGAAATTTATTGCATGAATTTTTTTTTTGGGACGAGGCCGGGGACCTCACAATTCAACCGGGGGCTCGTAAGCGAAACTGGCGGCTGCTCTCAAGATATAACATTTCTACTGCTACTGCTGGAAACCGGGTCCAACGTCCCAAGCACCCCGTTTTCTGGTTTTGCTAATTTGGACCTTTTCTCGATTTGGGCGGGCAATCCTTGGGCTGGGACCACAAGGGGACAAGAGGGTGACGTGACAGGGCGAAGACCAAATCCATATCTTTTTTTTTTTTTTTTTTCGGTACAAAGGGATGCTGGACCCGTTTTCCAGCAGATGACGACCGCCACCAATTGATGCCCCCCCCCCCGAGCAATGCTACCTTCTTCCCCTGAACATAACGCATATGTGTGGTATTCGAGTTTTCAAACTTCAATAATTTCGAGTAAAACGCAGACGCCTTGTATTCCGAAAATTAGGGCTATTTGTATTCGACTAGAACGCACCCCTATGCGTTGTATTCGTTTACAACGCATATCCGTGAAGAAGGAAGAAGGTACTGGTGACTGCGCTTATCAGTATCCCTGGCTATTGTGATGGCTATGGTCGCCATGCCTAGCCAGCTAGCCATGGCTATGGGCGCCATGCCTAGCCAGCTTCGGCAGCCCAAAGCGGACCTCTGTGGTGGGTCTGGGGAGCTGTCCCCAACTTTGACATGTTTCTTTTGCCATTTTCTGAATTATTTGATTGTTTTGTGGATTAGTATTTACAAATAATATATGACCATTTGAAGGAATCATATACTCAATGAAATTACAAGCTCTTCGTAAATAAAGAAGTTTTCTTGCTGGGGCAGCTTCCATCTATTTATACTTAGGGCCTCGCGACACCACTCTTGAAAACTCATTTTCAAGAGTTGCTGCATCGCCACACAGCCTCTTGAAACTTGGGGCAGTCAAGAGCACTCAGAGTGGCAGCCTCTTGAAGCCCCCTTTCAAAAGCAGCTCTTGAAAGATTGGAAACGCCAGTCTGCCTGCAACTCGTGTGTTTCCAAGCGTCCTTGGCCGAACCCTTGAGGGACTATTGATTTTCAAGAGTTGTCGGGCTGTTATCCAGACGCCATTGAAAAAAACAAAGCTGTACGTCTGTCTTTTTGCATCCTTTGTCCAGCACTGTCGCCGTTTCAAGAGTGCTGTGTGGCGATGGGCCGAAACCTCTCGAAAATGCAACTCTTGAAATCGTCTCACAGCTCTTGAAACAATTCCCTGTTTCAAGAGTGGTGTGGCGAGGCCATTATATGGAGCTACGATCATGACGCCTGTGAGCGCATCTGGTCTTCGATGAGCAGCCCAGTGTTGAAGCCTGTTTTGGAGTTCGTGTTACACACGCGCCACTGGGCCTGTCGTTTCGTCTTCGCCGCACTGCCAGCATGAGATTTCATCGTGGACCTACGCTTGCGAACTGTCAGACGTGTGTCGGTGGAGTGACTCGTCTGCCGCTTGCAATTGCCCACCTGCACACTCGTGATTTTCGACGGTGCTTTTGGAAGTCCATGCAGGAGCTGCCTGAGGCTTGGATCCCACAATCTTTTTTTTTTTGTTTAGCCGGTAGCATCAGGACCGAGCTTCTTCGATGGGCCAGTCACTGTGCCTCCCCTCCGGTCCCCTCCCCCTATGAACATCAGCTTTCTCTGCTCAATGCCACTCGGGAGGACCAACGGCCCACAATCTTTAGGAGATGTGCTTTCAGCGGTAAAAAGCGACCCCACACGTTTCCGTGGCCACTAGACCTTGAAAATAATTAGCCTGTTTCTTCTCTGGGCCTCCTTCATGGCAGCACGGGAGCGAGTCGTGGCGGGTTTCGGGATTGACTTTCCGAAAGTGGCCGACCCCCTACACCTCCCCCCGAAAGTCAGCGGCTGGGCAAAATTGTTTTTTCTTTTGTCTTCTGTTCTCCGTTCGTGGCCACTGGCTGTTCGATGTCTGCAGACCGCGTTGGCACTAAGTGCAAATCGACAAGATTCGTGGAGAAGTTCCTTCCCCGTCGGGCTCATAAATTATTTTTTACGAACCGGTAGGCGCGGATACGACTCTTAGGGTACTTTTCAGACTTCTGCACACTGTGACGCCCAACCTCACGCCCAATGCGGCTTCCTGATCGGAGTAGGATGTGGGCCGAAAGTGCGAAAAGGGGAGTGCCAAGGATTTTTGGGAAAGGGGGGGGGGGGTGAAGTCCAA